TTTTTTTTTTTTTTGTGTACTATGTAATATGCTCGACTACTTTCGATTCAAACCGTTGGATTGTAGTTTAGTTTGTTATGTTCCGTACGAATTCGATAGCCGATTAATGTTAATGTTCCCCCTTGTGATGGGATGCTGCAATGAACACTCACATGCAGTTTTATGAGGGTAACTGCAGTTTTAGATAGACAACCATTTTTCGTCTTGTAATTACAATTTTCAAGGATAATTCTCAATTGGCCAAGACAATTTCACATCGTCCAGCAATTACAGTTATCAAGGATAAATTCGAGCTCTACGATTTGATAGAGTTTTGAGAAAGAGATCGATTAGCTAACGAGTCTTGCCGAGCTAAGACTAGAAAATATGAATTTTTAAGTAATTTTTTATATCTTGGCTTGTAAAAAATCGACTTCAGCTCGTTAAGGCTCGACTTAAGAAGTCATCCATGTTCATTTACCAATAGTGTATTGACAATTTGACATGTATCCAGCGATCAATGAAAACCATATTCATAAAAAAAACCATCCGAAAACTCTATAAATATTTTTATGAATACACCTCTCCAAATATTTTACAATTTGTCCACAAGAACTGGGTGCAAAAATAGGCAGTGTATGGAACAAAAAGGATGGGCCCTTTCGAACTCAGCAGTTTATGCTAAACCCAAACGAGGAAAAGGCCTAGCCCAGAATCCAGATCATATTTGACAAGCAGAAAATTCATTCACGCGCCGCCGGCCATTCGGGCAAGAGCCGCTGCAGACGGGTCCAATTACCTTCGGCTTGTGATGATTATTGTATCGCGAAAACTCAGCTACCATTCCTCCTTTTTGGCTTCCGATGAGCTTGCTAGCCGTATAGAAGCCACACCACCGTTCTCCCATAATGCGCCATGGCCGAATATGGAGAAAAATTGCCCTTCTTCATAATCCACTCGCCTTTCTCATTGTACCTTTCTCCTCGAAATTTAGGTTCACAACTGCCGCAAAAGCTCCGGCGAGCTCACTCGGCGACCTTTTGCTAGTCGCTTCCATAGCCAAAACCCTGTCCAAGCCCGGAGGAATTCACACTCTGGACAGAGATGGCGACTCGATCCCCCTCTCCGAGGAGCTTGTCCTCCAGATCCTCCGCCGTGGCTCCCTCGACGCCTCCAGGAAGCTGGATTTCTTCCGATGGTGTTCCCTCAGGCATAATTACAAACACTCGGCGGGTGCATACTCTCAGATGTTCAGGTCCATCTGCTTTTTGCCCAACCGCCATTACAACGATATCCTCGAGCTACTTGCCTCGATGAGGCGCGATGGATTAACGCTGGATTCATCGACTCTGAAGCTGATCCTCGACGGATTTATCAGGTCCGGTAAGTATGATTCTGCCCTGGAAGTATTGGATTATGTCGAGAGGGAATTGATCGATAAGAAGCGTTTGAGCCCTGATGCGTATAGCCCTATTGTAGTTGCTCTTGTGAGGAAAAACCAAGTTTCTTTAGCTCTGTCTATTTTTCTCAAGCTTCTAAATTCACCCACTGTTGGAGACAGTATAGTCATTCCCGATGCTATTGCCTGTAACGAGCTGCTTGTCGGCTTGAAGAAATCGGGCATGAAAGATGAATTCAAAGAGGTTTTCGAAAAGCTTCGTGGCACGAAACTGTACCCTCTCGATAGGTGGGGTTACAACATATGCATCCACACGCTAGGATGCTGGGGTGATTTGAGCATTGCTTTGAGTCTGTTTAAGGAGATGAAGGGAAAAAGTGGTTCGTTCGATCCAGATTTGTGCACGTACAATAGCTTGATACACGTGCTTTGCTCGCTTGGGAAGGTGAAAGATGCCCTCGCTGTGTGGGAAGAGCTGAAAAGCTCGTCCGGCCACGAACCCGATTCGTACACTTACCGAATACTCATTCAGGGCTTTTGTAAATCCTACAGAATTAATGACGCCCTGAAAATATTTAGTGAGATGCAGTATAACGGAGTACGTGCAGAGACTGTTGTTTATAACTCCCTTCTCGATGGCTTGTTAAAGTCGAGGAAATTGAACGAAGCCTGCAATCTTTTTGAGAAAATGGTGGATGATGACGGGGTTCGAGCCTCATGCTGGACGTACAACATTCTCATAGACGGGTTGTTAAAAAACGGGAGGCCCGAGGCTGCTTATACCCTGTTTTCTGATTTAAAGAAAAAAAGTAATAATTTCGTGGACAGTGTCTCATATAGTATTGTGATTTTGCATCTTTGCCGGGAGGCAAAGCTCGAGGAAGCATTGAAATTGGTGGAGGAAATGGAGGCTAGGGGGTTTGTGGTTGATTTAGTCACGATAACTTCGTTGTTAACTGCGCTTTACAGGCGAGGTCTATGGGATTTGACCGAGAAGCTTATGCGCAAGCATATAAGGGATGGGAATTTGGTCCTTTCTATTCTTAAGTGGAAATCGGCGATGGAAGGCTCGTTGAAGAGCCCACAGAGAAAGGAGAAGGACCTCACGCCAATTTTCCCATCAACAAACGATATTGCCGACTTCTTGAGTCTGCCGAAATTAGACTCTGGCAAAATCAAAGATTTCGAGCAGCCGGGTAATATCGAAATTGACGAGTGGTCATCATCTCCTTACATGGACATGCTGGCAAATAAATTCACGTCCGGCGATCAAAGTCCCGTAAAGGCTTTCACAATGTCGAGAGGGGTTCGAGTCATGGACAAAGGCGAGGACTCTTTCGACATCGACATGGTGAACACCTATTTATCGATTTTCTTGTCCAAAGGGAAGTTGAGCCTTGCTTGCAAATTGTTCGAGCTTTTCACATCGATGGGGGTGGACCCGGTTAGCTACACGTACAACTCGATCATGAGCTCGTTCGTGAAAAAGGGTTACTTTAGGGAGGCTTGGGCCGTGCTCGATGCCATGGGGGAGACCCTTAACCCGGCCGACATAGCGACGTACAACATTATCATCCAAGGCTTGGGGAAGATGGGCCGTGCTGACTTGGCGAGTGCCGTTCTTGAAAAATTGACGAGGGAGGGCGGGTATTTAGATGTCGTGATGTACAACACGTTGATTAATGCGCTGGGGAAAGCGGGCCGGGTTGACGAGGCGGACAAGTTTTTCGGGCAGATGAAGGCGGGCGGAATAAATCCGGACGTGGTTACCTATAACACGCTCATTGAGGTGCATGCGAAGGCGGGTCGGGTTGAGGATGCGTACAAGGTTTTGCGGATGATGTTGGATGCCGGGTGTGCTCCGAATCATGTGACAGACACGATTCTGGATTTTCTGGAGAGTGAGATTGAAAGGTTGAGATACGAGAAGGCTTTTGTTGTGAGGTCTAGCACAGATGATCCCTCCTGAGGGGCAAATAGAGGCAGCCATGTTTGTTAAACAGTGCTGAAACTTGAAAGTAGTTGTATGTACATGCTTTAAAATGCAGATTTCTCTTTATTATTACTGGAGTTGTGTTGCGTTCTTTGAATGTGTAATCTAGTAATTAGTTGTAGGTGATGTTCGGTCTTACAATTTACAAAACGAGGACTGAGGTTAGAATTATTGCAACTTTCTTGAAATGTCGAGCATTTCTTATATGTTTATCTTGGATTGTGTTGCATTTAAGCAGCTGATTGTCCTCTGGCTCTGCTCTTTGCATATGCTGGTAACATAGGTTTATATGTAAGACGGGCCATAAAGCAAAGTAGGCTATTTGTAGCCCATTATGCTAAGGCAGCTCAGCAGATAGGCGTATGAATTAAAATAAACCCACTCCACCATACGACCTTGGTTGAATAATGACCCGATAATTGACCCGTGACATATTCAATTTCCTTTTTTTTTTTTTTTTTTT